TCTCAAAGAAGTAGAATCCGGTATGGAGCGAGCTGCATATGCTCTTCGTTGGAAAACGCATATAGATAAGAAACGCAGCTCTCAGTTGCAGCAACAGAACCAGCTAACAAACCAGCCAAACCAGCACCTGGATCAACAGCAGCAGCAGCAGCAACTTCAGCAGCAGCAGCAGGGACAACAACGGCAGCAGCCAGACCAACAGAGGCAACAACAGCAACAGCCAGAGCAACAACAACTACAGCAATCAAGTGCTCAGCCACAGCAGCAACAGCATCAACGACCGCATCGTGACAACCAACAAGAACAAGATCATCAACCACCTCCAACTGTTCAGCAGATTCAGCGAGATCCAGAGCAGCAGAACCAGCCTCAAACGCAAGCGCTACAGCCACGTTTCCCAGACAACGACTGTGGACAAGCGCCTGCTGGGTCCAGCGAGTTAGAAAACTCACTAAAGCAGGTAAAGAAAAAGATAATAGCCACCTACAAGAACCACAACAAACCTACACCTAATCATAGCCGTGCTGAAATAGAGGCTCTAAGCCAGCTTGCTAAGGACCAGAGTGTTGTAGTCAAGCCCTCAGATAAAAGTAAAGGTTTAGTTTTGATGAGCTCCACGGATTACACTCGTAAGATAGAATCTATCACATCGACCTATGAGCCGGTGGAGCGCAATCCCACCCCTCGGCTAGAGGCCACCACCAAACGTGCTATTCATAGGTCGATGAGTGGAAAGGTCGAGGATAAGATTGTAAAGGCAATCGTTCCGCACTGTTCTAGAACGGCGGAACTCTATGGTTTGCCGAAGGATCACAAGCCAGATATACCTCTCCGGCCGATCGTGTCGGCTTGTGGTGATCCTTTGGACAAACTGTCATGGTTCCTAGAAAAAAATTGTCAACCAGCTCTTACAACATGTGCCAGCTCACTTAAAGAACACAGCTCAGTTCTTGCAAAAGCTGTCTGATCGTTACCCTACAGGCTTTGACCAAGGTACGATTTTGTTTAGTGTAGATGTTGTAAACTTGTACGGTAACATTCCCATTAACGAGGCGATCGATGCGACCATCCGCTTACTTGAGCACCACGCAGAAAATATTGACACCTTCGGACTGGATTTAGATAGTGTTCGCGACCTCCTCACACATTGTCTGACCAACAACTTTGTTCGCTTCGGACGGAGCTATTTTAGACAGGCCGAAGGAATCGCGATGGGTAGTAGGGTGGCCCCGCCTCTAGCAATTGTTTTCATGCACGCCCTGGAGACCCTTTTCTTGGCATCCCCACGCCTACAGCCCTCCCTATACATGAGATATGTAGATGATGTGTTTGGAGTGTGGACGCATGGCAAAGAAGCCCTCCTTGAGTACTTCTCATTCCTGAACAGTATCCACCCGTCCATCAAGTTTACCCTTGAGCACACTGCTGATACCGGGGTTCTGGCATTTTTAGACACTAAAATGACGATCGCAGAATCTGGGGCCTACACCAGCGAACTTTACGTCAAACCGACCGCATCACCAGTGATCATACATTTTGAGTCAGCCCTCCCGATGAAAACGAAGAAAAATACTTTGAGATCACAGCTGCTAAGGGCCTTTAGAGTCTCCTCTCCTGGCCTCCCCAGAGCACGAAGCATGAAATTGATTGAAAACCTGTTCCTGACGAACGGATACCCGCCCCATTTGGTGACTCGAGTAAAAAGAGAGGTATTAAGGGACAGAGGTACAAAGAAACCTAATGTTTCTCAGCCCGAGCCTGTGTACCTGGCTCTCCCCTTCGTCGACGATGACCTCTGTCGGAAAGCGGAGGGCATCCTGAAAACCAGTGGGCTTAACGTACGGGTGGCATGGAAAGGTGGCCCTAACCTACGACACAAGCTGGTACGCTCTGCTTTCAGCTCCCTACACCCTGCCCTGGAGGAGGGCGGCAGTGCCAATGCTGCGAGGCGGGGCTACGGGGAAAATGCCACACCAAAAACGTCATTTACCGGATGGACTGCGGATTGTGCGGAAACGACGAGTCATTTTATGTAGGTGAGACTCGCCGCTCAGTCAGACTCAGGTACAACGAGCACATTCGTGATGCCAAAAACGTAAAAACAGACACCCCTTTTGGCCTCCATCAAACAAAACATCCTGATGTTCAACTGAACAGTAGCAACGTCTCCATTCAAATTCTGCATGTGTCAAGAGACGGCCCAGACCGAAAGATCTGGGAATCCATCTACATTCGAGATCTAAAACCAACTCTGAACACTCAAACCTCCTCCTGGCCCCTGATTCGTACTTGAGTCTGACTGAGTGGCGATTCGACTGGCTAGTTGTGACATCGTGTGTATGTGTGTTTTTTTCGAGTGGCATTGTATGTGCGTGTTTTTGTGTTTTTGTTTTGTAAATCTTCAGGTTATGGTAAAATTCGTATTGAATTAGGTAGAACTGTCACTGAATTATGTATTTGTTTAACGCAGGCTTGCCTTGTTCTGGGAAAATGTTTAATCAGGCAGTATTAGTTCCATTGTGAATGTATTTGTACTCTGCAGCCTATGTAAGGAAATATTCTGTAATTTTATCTATTATATTTGGTAATGTATTATATAATTATGTTTTATAATACTCCTATGTAATGTTATGAAACCCTTTGGAGAAGTGCCTGTGCCTAACTGCAGCTGCTATCGATTTGAATTTCAATGTGTTTGCGCCAAAAAGGAAAATAAAGTAGAGCGAGTTGAAGAAGGCGTAAGCCGAAAGCTCCTCGGAATTATCAGGCCTTTTTCTTACGATTTTGGATTTTAACTATGAGAGTACGGTTACTTTACTTGATTTTAAGCATGTCTCTCAAAACAGTGCTAACAGCAATTCAGACTAAAACAACTTTCATCAGGAAAGGTGTGTTAACACAGCAGTGCGTAAGAAATTGAAATCCGATGAGTTTTTTTTGTAATTTTGAGAAACATTTTTAGGGATATGCCCCCGCAGCGTCCAAGACCGCCTTTCTGGATCCGCCAGTGCCCCGTCGAACGACTCCTGTCCTTCCAGTTCAACGAAAGGCTCAGGCAAATGGAGCCCGGTTTTGGATGGCCTGCCTGCCTTAGAAGGACCCTGCTCTAAAATACCTCCAAAGCAGAGGGCCCGGCCCGGCCCGGGGACGGCAGTCGGCGTCTCGGCGGTAGCCGCTACCTTGAATTAGACGCTATCTGAGTTTTTGAGAGGTGGACCTGGGTAGTGGGGGGCAGCAGACAGCTTTTTTATCGATGGCAATGCCACACTTAACCCTCGCATGTGGAAGGGGGGGGTCGGATGAACCCCCCCCCCCCTCCATGGTTTTTCGCCAATAACTCTCACAAAAAGCGGCCGATCGCGACGAAACTTTCAGTACCCTCGAGTTGATCAATTTTACACCTACTTTAAAAATTTCATGACCCTGACCCAAGTGACCTTTGACCTGTGACCTATTTCTCAAGGCCATATTTGGCCGGAATCGCGATTCGGCGTGTGCAGCTCGCATAGCCGCGCATTTGCAAGCTTTTCGCGGTTTCAAACGTTCAAACATGTGATTCGATGTTGCTCCCATGCATTAGGGTGGATGTCAAGGTCACCTGAAGGTCAGGTCAGGTCACTGACCTTTGGTGACCTCGGTTCACTTTTCAAGTTTTACATGTTTCTAGGCTAGTTTTTTTTTAAGCTGAATTCGAATTTAGAAACCATTTGAACATTTAGGTACGAAGTAGTTTTGGTGTCTCCATAACATGTTACGAAGCTGTCAGAGGCGGTTGACACCTCAACTACGAATACCCGTCACGACCCCTACTGGTTGACCTGACTTGACCTGACCCGCCCTGGTCTAAATGCTTAAAGACATCATCTGTGATCAAAACTTACACGATATTCGTGATCAGCACCCCTAAAAACCCACAACAGCCACACTCTACGACTTTCTAACAGGTCCCGATTTTCCCGACTTTTGGGTCATTGACCTGACCTGGAAAGTCAACCAATGACCTAGGACCTTAAAATTGGGTATCATCGGCTTCATCTTGTGACGGGCAACACGCTCGTTTTTTTCCGCGAAGCTCTACACTGTAAACCAAATCTACAAGTTGGCTCCTTGTTACAAGTTTGGTTCCAATTCGCATAGGCGTCACCTTGTCGATTCACCAGCCCCAGGCTTGTTGGCTAACAAACTAACAGTTTGTCTACAAGTTTGGTTCCAATTCGCATAGGCGTCACCTTGTCGATTCACCAGCCCCAGGCTTGTTGGCCAACAAACTAACAGTTTGTCTACAAGTTTGGTTCCAATTCGCATAGGCGTCACCTTGTCGATTCACCAACCCCAGGCGTGTTGGCCAACAAACTAACAGTTTGTCTACAAGTTTGGTTCCAATTCGCATAGGCGTCACCTTGTTGAGTACTAGTCTGGGCCTTGTGAACCTACCAACTTCTGGATAGGCATAGCCGTTTCCTTGTCGGTTCAACAACCCCTGGTTTGTTGATGAACTAGCCTTTGACTGGGCATTGCTAGTTTACAAATTGTCAACAAGTAAGTGTACTAACGCTCAGTTCGAACTTGTTATTCCTTACAATCGCTTTGTTTGCGTTGATAACCTTAAGAACTTACGATTCGCGTTCGTTTTCAATTGCCACGATACTGATTCAGGAAATATTTTCTATACGGACAGGTCATTTTTTTTTTTTGCTGGAAGTGGTGCACAAAATCATGACTGGCATCAGTTATTGCTCAAAGGCTTGCGCTGACAAGAAACGAAATACTGATGGGTTATATAATCGATGAATGCATACACCACATCCATTCGGAAGTTTCTGGAATCATTAGTATTTATTACGGTCACGTACCTACATCACGTAGTATGTAATTAATACTATTGACTGGAGACAATTCTGTAGTAGACGTGCTCTTGCTGAATACTTGCTTGATACGCTTTTTATACTTCCGAAAGCTGTATTCCACAACTGTGCAGAGTCAGTTCAAGATCGACAATATAGACAAAGAGCGTCTCACACGAGGGCGGCGAACAACGGCGCAAACCAAGGTTACATGAATATGGTCGTGTGACGCTAAACTACTGCTATAAGATAAAGACCGCTAAACTACTGCTGTAAGATAAACTATCACATCCCCCTTCTCACGAACGCTCACAAGTCCAAACGGATAGGCGCTCGCGTCACTCGGCCGGATCGGGTACGCGCAGCGCTAGGATCCGGACGAATGTCCTGGGCGGTCCGCCTCACGGGCCGCGGGGCGTCGTCGTCCGTGTCCACCGAGGACGTGCTGCTCGCTCTGGATAGCGGGCGGGACCCGCGCTGAACCATGTAGGACGACGGTGCCTCGTGTTCCGCTTTGATGGTTCCCTGTTCCCACGTGCTCGTCGCCTTGTTTCTGATGAATACCGCGTCACCAGGAAGCAGCATCGGCTCAGGGCGGCGTTGCCCGACGCGTGCGTTGTGGCTGTCGCGCTGCTGTTGCTGGCGGTACTCCAGACGGTTTCGGTGGTTCGTCGTTTCCTGGCTCTCCATGTGTCGATGAGGAAGCTGATCGATTCTGCGACCGAACAGCAGCTCTGCGGGTGACGGGAGAACGCTGTCAATCGGAGTGGCCCTCAGGGTGCGGAGACCGATCTGGAACTTGGTGTAGTTCCCAGCGCACTTCTGCAGCAGGCTTTTCACGGTTTTCACATGACGCTCCGCGATGCCGTTGCTCTGCGGGTGATGCGGGGACGATGTCACGTGTTTGAACCCGAACATCTCGCTGAATGTCCTGAACTCTTTCGAACTGTACTGGGGGCCGTTGTCAGAGTACACAGTGCTCGGTGATCCATGTTCAGCGAACAGCTGCATCATGACCTTGATCACTTGCGTGCTGGTCGTGCTCGTCAGCTCGTAGACGAATGGGAACTTGGAGTAGTGGTCCACTATGATGATAAAGTGCCTCCCATTGCTGTAAAACAGGTCCGTGCTGACATCGGTCCAGGGACCGGGGGGAACTGGGTGCTGGTGCTCAGCTTCGATTGTGCTTGCACTTGCAGCGGGACGTGATGCCTGGCAGGGCAGGCAGGCAGCGACGCGCGCCTCCACGTCCTTCTTCAGCGTTGGCCAGAAGATTGAGTCTCTGGCTCGCAGTTCCATCTTCACACGGCCTTGATGTCCTTCATGTAGTCTTTCGACGTACCACTGCTGAAGCTGATCCGGGATGACCACGGCGGTGCCCTTGATGACCAGTCCATCGTCGATCACCAGGGCGTCTCGGACCGACCAGAACGGTTTGACCGCTGGGTGGGCTTCGCAGCGTCTTGCTGGCCACCCGCTCAGGATGACCTTCTTCAGCTGGTGCAGCGTCTCGTCTCGGCGGGTTTCTTCTCGCAGCTCCTCCAGGCGTGATGGGGTGAACTGCACCAGGCCGATGCAGACGTCCAGCTGAAGAGTAGTCGTCGGACTTGGTCGTTCTGTGGGAAGTCTGGATAGCGCGTCAGACACATACATTGTGTCACCCTTCCGGTACTTCAGGGTAAACGTGTAGTTTTCGATGCGGAGAAGCATCCGCTGCAGGCGCGCGGGGGCGCGAGCTATGCTCTTCTGCAGTATCATCTCTAGGGGTTTGTGATCAGATATGACCTCGAATGTGCGTTCGAACAGATATGTTCTGAATTTTTCGCACCCGAACACCACTGCAAGCATCTCCCGTTCGATATTGGCGTACCTCGTCTCAGTATCGCTTAGTGCTTTCGAGCCGAACGCGACTGGCTGGCCATCCTGCAACAGCACTGCGCCCAGCGCCACACCGGAAGCATCAACTTCAAGCGTTACCGGTCTCGACGGGTCGTAGTATGCCAGTACTGCATCTGAGGAGATGATGTCCTTTAGTGTCTGGAAGTCCTTGCAGGCTTTTGGAGACCACTCGACGATGGCGTTCTTCAACATCTGCCTCAGGTGATGTGTCAGATCTGAGAAACCTGGAATGAACGGAGACAGGTAAGTGCACATACCCAGGAACGACTGCAGCTCTGCCACGTTCTTGGGGCGCTCGATGTTCTTGATCGCTTCCACCTTTGCGGGGTCGGGCGATACACCGTTCGCACTGTACACATGTCCGAAGAAGGACACTTGACTCAGGCCGATGGCGCACTTGTCCGGATTGAAGACTAGACCTTTTTCTTGCGCACGCTTCATGAGGGCGCGGAGCCGTTCCGTGTGCTCGGTTGCGTCCTTGCCATACACACAGATGTCATCTGCGATGTTGATGACTCCTTCCAATTCTGTGAGGATTTCATCCATTTTCCTCTGGAAGAGATCTTGTGAGAGCCTGATGCCAAACGGCAGCCTGCAGAACCTGTATCTGCCGAATGGTGAGTTGAAGGTAGTCAGCTTGCTTGACTCCTCATCCAGCTGGATGGCCCAGTAGCCTGCACGGGCGTCCAACTTCGAGAAGGTTGTTGCCCCAGCCAGCTGATGGGTGATTTCTTCAGTTGTGATGTTCCTGTGATGTGGCCTCTTTATGGCCCTGTTTAGGTCCTTTGGGTCAAGGCAGACCCGCAGCTTCCCGTCTGGTTTCTTCGTGATGACCAGGCTGGATACCCAGTCAGTGGGCTCTTGCATGGGTTTGATGACGCCCATCTTCTCCATGGTATCTAGCTCCTTTTTTAAGTCATCTCGCAGGTGGATAGGGCACTTCCTTGGAGGATGCACCACAGGCTTGATTGTTGGGTCAACTTCGATTGAGGCTGTTCCTGGAAACTTGCCCAGTCCTCGGAACTGGTCCGGGTACTCCTTGATGAGCTGCTGAGTGTCTGTGATGATTTCATGAGCATGCACTTCATCTCTGACCTTTGATTTCACCATGTGCACCTGCTGGTTTAGGCGGACGAGGTCCAGCTTCTCACATGCTGGCAGACCAACCAGGATGGGACCCTCGCAGTCAACCACATGGAACTTTTGTGTTGACCTTTTCCCGTTGAAGAAGCACTCAACATCCAAGACACCATGTTGTTTGATGTCCGTGCCGTTGTATGCTGTGATCCTGGTTTTGTCATTTTGGAGGTGCACACTTGAGGGCATCTTCTTGAGGCACCTGACTGGTAGGATGTTGCCATCTGCACCAGTGTCCACTTTTGCATGGAAAGTGTGACACCCAGGCAGTCCTTCAATCTTCACTTGGAGGTCTGCGAAGGCCTCCGACCTCGACTGAGTCGTTTGAAGAGCATCAAAGAACAGGTGTTCCTCTTCATTTTCTTGCGTTGTGACTTCAGATACCCTGTTCCTTGTCCTGTTGCCCTGTCCTGACCTTCTGTTGTAACCACGAGGCGCTCCACTGTGGCGACTCTGACCTCGATACGGCTGGTTCTGGTTGTGTGGTTTTGCATTTGGGTCTGGGTTGCGACACACTGTGGCCCAGTGACCCATCTTTCCACACTTTGCACACTCAGAGTTCAATGCTGGGCATGCATTTCTGGAAGCCTCATGTGAACGAGCACAGTACCTGCACTTGATGTCTCTGGGTTTTGAATTAGATTTTGGGCCTTGTACAGCATGAACTTTACTGCCGGCCTTGTCAGCATCATCATCCTTGAAGTTGGCCATGTGCTGTTTGTTGGCCTCATACGTTCGATACATGTCGATGGCCTGGTCAAGAGTGAATTCGTCATCCTTGACGAGCATTTTTTCCTGGATTTTTGGATGAGCTGAGCCAAATATCAGCTGTTCCAGGACCCTGTTGGGGCACTCAGCTTCAGTGAACTTACATTTATCACTTTGTAGGCGCAAACGTGCGACAAACTCATCTACAGTTTCAGTTGGTCCCTGTTTCATTCTTTGAAGGTTGAATCTGGCCAGTCGGAAATTGGTTTTAGGTGCAAAGTGAGTTTCAAGCCTTTTCAGGATCTCGGCTGGGTCTTTCTGGTGGGCTTCAGTCATCTTGAATGTGTGCACAAGGTCAATGCCCACGGGCCCAAGCCACAGAAGCAGATAGGATGCTTTGACTGCACCAGTTTTTTCTGAGAGGGGACCTGAGAATACATGTGTCACATACTGTTTGAATTTTCTGAAAGCTCCTGGGAGATCTTCAGCATCCCAATCGAACGTGGGGATCTGGATTCCAGCCATTTCAGCCATTTTGATTGTCAGCAGCAATTCTACACTACAAAGATCTCAATACGGTCTAAGAGTGATAGAAAAAGATTTGCTTTACCGCTGCCACCATGTAGTAGACGTGCTCTTGCTGAATACTTGCTTGATACGCTTTTTATACTTCCGAAAGCTGTATTCCACAACTGTGCAGAGTCAGTTCAAGATCGACAATATAGACAAAGAGCGTCTCACACGAGGGCGGCGAACAACGGCGCAAACCAAGGTTACATGAATATGGTCGTGTGACGCTAAACTACTGCTATAAGATAAAGACCGCTAAACTACTGCTGTAAGATAAACTATCACAAATTCCAAGTGCATATTTTCGAATGGATGTGGTAAATGCATGAGGTATAAGGTATACCTATCGTGCACCGTCAGCATATAAGTCTTTGAAGCAAGAACTGCTGCGTATGTGGAAGAACATGGTTTTGTGCATCGCATCAAGCCAGAAGTATAACATGCCCGTATGACGAATATTTCCACATTGACCATAACAATCATGGCAGTTGCACGATCACGCAGATAATTCGAATAAAGCATGATCGCCGACCAGATTAGCTTTTACAGCCCATATATGTCCATCAGTTAAGTTAAAAATACAAAGAGTTGAATTAAAGGCAAATAAATGTATTTATATATAAAAAACACCGACCGCAAAACATCTGCTCACATGTGCATGCAAAGGTCTGGCCCACTTACATTGCGCGCGCAGGGGAAGGGAGGCGTCTCGACCGCGGGTGCCGGGTATAGGCACGATTAGTGCGTCCCGCAGGCCAGAGCGGGCCTCACTCACAGCACGAACACCACAGTTCACAGATTTCACTTTTTACTGCACAAATGCTGGAACAGCCCTCGTCGCTGATCCATGCTGCACGGCGGTCGCGCGACAACTGCTGGTTTGAACGGTTTGAAACCGCCGCGCCGGGGCCGGACGGCGACCGCTGATTGGTCCGCCAAGTCTGACGTCACGGGCGCAGCTGACCATGTGTATGCTGACCAGCTGACCAGTACAAGTTAGGCGCCGGTTAAATAACCATGCGGCAACAAGTTTCCAAAACTGGTTAAGAAACAAACGTTGAAACAAATGTAGAGTTGGTCTGGATACTGAGAAGTTGGTGTGCATAGTAACTATTGACTCGTAGTTGTCATCTGACAAGCAATGCACCAGACAACGGCTTGTTTGAAAAGTATCAGTTGGTAAACATACCAAGAGATGATTGGTTATATTACACAAGACTTGTCAATTTGGTTTACAGTGTAGCTCAATCAGGGGCCAAACGGCAAGGGGGGGGGGTCCAACCGCCCCCCCCTACATGTTAGAAGCTGACAAACGCCGCACACATGCGAGGGTTATCACATGATGTGGACTGTGGTGCCTATAGTTCAGGAAGGGCCTACCTACTTTAGAGACAGCGGTCAGTACTTACTCGGTACTCCTATTTGCAGGGTCGACTCATTAGGTACTGAGTAGTCAGAAGAGTTGGCTACCTAATGGGCTGCATCTGTGCCTGCTGCCTGAGAGCTCGACACCGATGAGGGGTGGGCAGTAGCGCCTTATTCACTGAGCTGGCAGGTGCAGGAGCACCGGGACTTCAGGTGCATTATAATGCACACTGCCCCACAATTACCTAAGTAGGGTAAGGTGCCTAATTAGCTACCCTCTTTATTTGGACCGTCATTGCGTACGCTCTATAGGTCCCACTGTATTGCTGACTTGATTTTCGGAGAGATCGTTTATTTTTCTATTGAATTCTGTTCATTTTCTGTCCCAATATCTGCTAAGTTATTTGTAGCGAGCACTTTGGGAAACCATTGAAAAAAGGCACTTAAAGGGAACTCGTCCCGATTAGCGACCGCGGAGGGTCGCTAATAAGTCTATGGGGTTTCCCATTAAAAAATGGCAAAAAATGCGACGCCTGAAAAATCAAATATGACCCTAAAAACGTAAACCATACGCAAAGCACTTCATTCGAACACGAAGGTTTATCTTATACGCGTATGCAAGTGAAAACCGATCACGTAATGCACCAAAGGCGAAAAGAATGCGAAAACCCAGATTTTACGGGCTATCCCGTGTGGTATTCGAGGCCCGCATTTGATACGGCATCCCTGCAGTCGGTCATTTGGCATCATCCGCCACACATTGCAAGCTTCAGCAACACTGCATTTTTATTTTTCTCTTTCCCCTTTCTTTCCCTTCTTGAGCTGTTTGTGACCATGTCGGGCGCAAATAGGAAATATGGGTTGCGACACATTTATGTATAACCACCATGCAGTGCATAGTTAACCGATTCACTACGGGAAAGCTGCAACCAGTTGAAAAATGATTCTCGATTCAGAATAAAAAAGGTGCATCATATTCACGTGCATCGCTTTTCATCAGACATGGCACAAATACACACGTTTTGAATAAGAAACCGGCCATTTTCGTTTAAACTCGCACCTAAAACGTCCCATCACAAGTAATGATAACCGGAAATGAGTTCATCGATGAACAAAGTACCTATGGCAGTATGGCAGTGCAGTTCTTTTGATGTTATTTTCCCGATTCCTCTCACCAGCTCTTCTGTAGGGAGGTAGGTCGCAAATAGAAAAGGGTTGCTAATTAGGCACCTTAGCTGCTGCTGAGCTGGCGGCAACGTCTTGTGTTTCTTGCTCGTACACTTTTTGTGTAGGTACGGTCAAAGGCAACGGACCATAATAACGGGCGACTTCAACTCGAGAGCGGCCTGAATTTATGTCAGTCAACATACCGATGCATCGCATTCGTATATATAGCGAGTCTCAATTAACCCCAAATTAACAGTTAGGTACGTTCAAATTGACCATGCTGAACACGAATGAGGAGCTGATCAAACAGTTGCGTCCACATGTGGATACGAGTAGAGCTTTTCCGGGAAGTTGGTGGGATAAAAAGTCGTCAAACCCACAATGTCCGATTATGAAGTTGAATAAAATGCCACACGGAATCAATTCCTATAATTACAGATATAACATGTGGCATTAAACAGACATTCCAAAGCTCTTCGATGCGAAAAGAGTAATTTGCAAAGCAACATAGTCTTAGAAATCAGCTAAAGTTCGTGGGGCAAAACGCTTATCGGTGGGGCAGAATACCAAGTTGGTGGGGCAGCCGCCCCACCAACTGTATGGAAGCTCCGCCCCTGGTTGCGTCATTTGAGGTTGCACTTGTAAAAATTGGGGCTGATCAATATTAGGAGATAAAGTCATAGCAGTCAGTCCTAGACATCACTCGCAAGCAGTCAGCTACTTATTTTCTAAACCACCTGAACCCTCATGGCTCCGGATGGACTGACCCCTCTCGCCTTATCGATGAACTCCACTTTTCATGCTCGCAGCGAATAATTCTGTGTTCAGAGAAGGGTTCTCGGGAGACAGCTGGGCCGGCGCTAGGGCTCCTAAGTGGGCCCCGGGGCCGCTCCGGGCCACTTTATATTCCGCGTCGGCCGCGTCGATAGCGGCGGCTGGCTCTCGCCCGCGGAGCTTCTTCTCGGCTACAGCCGCCTCCCGTGACAGCAGCCGAGATTGACAGCGGCCCGGACGGGAAAACGAAACAGGACCGCCACCGGCGGAGGGACTCTCGGTGCGCCCGGTGCAGTGGGCAGGCACTGGTGAGCGTCATCTGCAGGCTAGCGTGCGTGTCTGGCTCCGTACCTACTACCGATGTGACGCTATGCACCGTCGCATGGGGTAATAAACCGGCCCATTGATCCACTATCGCTATGAATCGCAACCGGATAAAAAATAGCAAAACGTTTTGCTAGAGGTTAATAAAGGGATGAAGTTTTCAATCGATGCTCGACAGCGATAGTTGCTTAACTTTCATTGCAAATACAGGGTGACACAAAAAAAAACGGTCATCACCAAATTTCGAATACCTAACTTCGGAAGTTTTATTCAGATCATCACCAAACTTCGGCCACTTAAGGTCACACCTATGTAGCATACATCCACCAAGTTTCAAGTCTTCACTACGATTACTTTTAGTACAGTGTGTGTTTTACTGACGCTCCACAATGTGCTCCATCCAGGTGAGCGCCACGGCGTTGCAGGGCGTAGGCACACTTGCATCCGGCGGGCAAAGTTGTCGATAACCCGATGGCTGTGCACTTTACAGAGTGCAATGGCCTCTGGAGACAGTGCTCAGGGGGTGTGCTACCCCTGAAACGTTATTCTTATCGGGTTATCGACAACTTTGCCCGCCGGATGCAGGTGTGCCTACGCCCTGCAGCGCCGGGGCGCTCACCTGGAGCACATTGTGGAGCGTCCGTAAAACACACACTGTACTAAAAGTATTCGTAATGAAGACTTGAAACTTGGTGGATGTCTGCTTCATAGGTGTGACCTAAAGTGGCCGAAGTTTGGTGATGATTTGAATAAAACTTCCGAAGTTATTCGAATTTTGGTGATGACCGTTTTTTTTTGTGTCACCCTGTATATTATTCTAGTTTAGTCAGATACCAGTCCGCGATACCGGTCTGGAAAAATCAAGCCTTTTTTAATAAAAGCCCAATGAAGTGAAAGTGTGCTTCCTGCTTACTGGAGGCAAATAGTGTTCTTTCAAGTGCGAATATTGACCGGGACTTGAACGAAATAGGCACACTTCGAGAAAGTACATGGCTTGTTTCAGTGCGTTGCAACCTAATTTTTTACCGCAAAACCGACAGAAGGTTCTTTGTTTCACTTTTTCGGTCATTGTAAAAATGTTCAAGAGAGGAATGTTTCGCTGTTCTCTGTTCACTGCTCCTGCTCCGCTTTTCTCTGCTGCGGTGTGGCAATCCATTATGCCGACCTCTCCTGTCCCAATTCGCCAATTTCGCCGCTCTCTTCGCCGTCGCTCAGACCCTGATCGACCTTGGTCGTGACGTCATTGGAGCAGAAACGACGCGGAGACGCCGCAGAATGTCGCGCTTTATGGCTGTATATTTCAGTTCCATTGTCCATTCCGGTCAGAAAATCCGGCCTTGGCTGCATGTCAGCGGCAAATTATTGACATTTCAAAGCGGAGAACAAACGGCAAACGGCCTGAGGTGACCGCCAGGGCGGATTACGGGCCCAGGCCGAGCACGCGCGGCGGGTGTGACTGTGGTCATGGGACTGAGATGTCAGCTTTCTGGGTGCCTGATATTGAAATAAGAAGATGAGAACATAGGTAATCGTAACGGACTAGATTGGACAAAACACCACGCATGTTCTTTTGTTTTTTTATACGCCCATGCTTCACTACTTCATCCCAAGTAAAAGTTGTTTGA